TCTTAAATAAAATGTGGTCACGCTGTCGATCAGTGCAGTTGGTCTGGATTGAATGGTATACTATGAAAGATATATCGTATTTTATTGACAAGCAGAGAGTAAACAAAAATATATGATTCCGAAGACGTTACAAACCGTCACCTGTCCCAGGATGCAACCAATCGAAAATGAACTATTCACAGAGAAATACTTCTAGGATAATGGTGTCATAGAAAAACACCCTATCTACTTCAAATAAATAATTTTCCCAACATTGAGGGAGTTGTGTATTTTATAGTTATTGAATTGTGTTTTAATTCTCCCCTTAGTCATTATAATATAAATTATAAGATCTTCATAAATATTTTGAAGTCTATGATTTTGTAATCATTTGAAATATTGGATGCCAACCAGCGATCTTCATGAATCAACTGTTCTATTAGTTGTATGGTGTGAATCGGACACGAATATCGTAGCTAGAAACTTCACACAAGTCGGTTTGCCGAGTGACCTTTATTTTACTTTCCTTTAATTCCAATATTTTCCAAAACATTCAAAATCTCAAAGATTTTAATCTTTCCTGGCTGGAGATACCTGTGTCAAAGTTACTTTACGGGTTTTTTGGCTGTGGTCTGCAGGTTTTTATGTTTGGCATGAAACGTAGACGAGTAGATGAAACATCGAAACAGAAAATAACTTTGATACATTAAAATACAAGACAAAGGTCATTCTTATTTATTCATTAATATTGCCGTGAGTTAAGACATGTCCGAAAAAGCCATTGTATGGCGAAACACATTTTGCGTTTTTGTAAAATCGTTTAGTGAAAATCTCACTGCGAAATGTTTTTTTAATACGTTTCCTCAATCACTTCACAGTGATTGAGACGATGATTTATGATTGAATTATTTTTATTTAGTGAATATTCCATTGTAACGTGATCAGAAAACAAATGGGAAATGTTCCTCAATTTGGGTTATTACAGCAAATGCAAGTTTGAAGAAAATAACGAAGTTCACTTCGAAAAGTTTTCAAATTGATGTTTCTAATGTTGAGTTTTAATTTTTAAAGGGATTTGTTTCTGATTCACATATTGACAACAGCGCCTAGAATGCTAGATCGGAGTTCAGGTTAGTAGTATGCTGGAAGAAAAAGAATCATGTTAATAGTGTCAAATTAGGGCAAAATATAAATTATAGTTCAATACCACATCAACAAGCCACATAAACAACAGTTGTTTTGTTTTTTATTTACATAGAGGAAGATAGGTTAGGTGCAGAAAATGTCATGTCACAGAATGTCTCGGAACTTAAGTGAACAGAACAGCAGGCCTCTGAAATATGTCATTTTTGTTTGTCTCATACAGGTAACAGATTCATTGTCCTTCATTAGCTATAACAGATGTTGCCAAATGGTGAAATAGAAACGAATCCTTTTAAATGTTGAACGCATTATATCATTTCTCTTTTTTAAGTATTCAAATGATTTTTTGAAGAAAAAGGTTGAAATGATAAGTTTAAAATGCGTTGTTTTAGAGCTCTTTCATGAAAACTATTTGATTTTCGTCAGGAGGAACATTCCCCAACGGGTTTTAACATACTACAGTTTTTAATTGCATATAATATTAAACACGTCAGAGTGAAAAGCTATGGAAAAACAAAAACAGAGTTGCAGTCGAATTCAATTCTCAAAAACTACAAATAGTCCCGTTTGAAAACGAAATCCTCCTAAAATGATGACTTAAATAATTAAAGATATTAATTTTTGAAAATTTTAATCTTCTTCGTTATTCCTCATGTATTTACACACATTTTCCATATAAAGTCTCCGCTACAACAGTCTGGACTACTCAACAACTCACCCCTTCACATATATTTCAATATATTCCACAGGAATGTAATAAACACAAAATTAACTTTGAGTTTTAATGTCGTTATATTTCACGTTGGAATATATAATTTCAAAGAATGATCAAACTGTTATTCTCACCTTGCCAAACACCACGAAACGTATATTTCGACCTACTCTATCTATCTATTACACTAGTAGTAAAAGCGAAGAAATACCATGTGTTTGCCAGATATCGTAACAATCGAAAGTTGAAATGGCTATGTGTATATTATGCTGGCTAATGGCCTTTTAAAACACAGTACTACCACAACATTTGGCTTGAAAGAAAGCTTCATGCTTTGGTACCGATAATAATGCGATTGAAAATAATGAATAATGGCAGCAGGAAATACTAAGAATAATGATTCTTCTTTGTTTCGGATTTTTAGACCATAGTCTGTTGGAATTTATTGTAACGTTTCGTTGACGGATGTATTAGACATTTTCAGAAGTCTATGTTGTCTCTAAGATTTTAGGTACTCCCGACCTCGGGAATAAATGTAAACAAACAACGACCTAAAAGGTCGAAACACTCCAATAAAAGTAGTTGATGAATCTCACCACTAAATCATGACAGCTGAATCATGCAGGGATTATTTTTGGCTTGAAAACAATTTTATTAGTCTCGACAAATATTGTATAAGTTTCAAAATGTCCGTATAGGACGAAACTACAGTAACGTCAGTTACAAATAAAAGTGGTAAAAAACATAGAAAGTTTCTTTTTTCTTTTCTTCATTATGATTTTCTACCACGTAGTAACGGCTAGATCCATTTATTTATTGAATGCTATTATCGAAAAAACAAAGCATTGACATATTTATTCCTCTCACCACTACTTACAAAGAACAATGGATTCCATGGATGTACACTTCGATGGAATCAAACAGTCAAAAGCCGGAGAATGAAGAAACAGACAGATTGACGTCTCATTACATCGATGAGTTGATCGGTGAAAAAAAAGAACGCGCGTGAACGATGATTAATATTTATCACACATTCAATTCGGAAATTATCACTCAAAACTCATAAATGAGGTAGAGATAGGTTGACGGGTTAGGTAGAGTTATGATAAAAATGTCTGAATTCTGAGTTTGGAGTCGGAATTTCCAAGTAACAAGTACCAACTGTACCAAGTCACGCTTGTTCATTCAGATTTTATTTTCGAATACGTTTGAAACGCGTTCTTTTCGAAAGTATTCCTGTATTCGGACAAAGAGTAGTCCATCGTGCTAGTGATTAATGCGATATGGATGGTTGGTTTTGAAACGGAATTTGACGTTACATTACGTAAGTTGTCAGTTTCTGAAATGTAATAAAAATTAAGAGAATTCAAGCCAAGTTACTTCACGACGTTTTGATTGTTAGTATCCACAATCTTTTTGTGGTGATGACTGGACTATTCCTCCGAGAGTTGACTATTTATAGGTCATTCGAGAGCTTTCACCTATCCCCACTTTTCTCTCTCGGCTTCTCCGGTTTAGCGGGAATTGACCGTTTTCCTCTTGATAACAGGTTTCCATATGTTACGCTAGCTGGGACTACTTGATGTTATGTTGATGAGTCCAAACTTTTTCTGCTAATCCCGATTTGCTGGTTTCCTATTAAGCCTTCTGGCATCAAGAATTCTTACTTTACTTTCCGTATATTGCATGACTTCCTCAGTTATAATCGATAGCCCTACATCCCGAATGTTTTTTCTTGATTCTCGTTATGTTTTTAACGGGTGCAGTTTTTTCCCAATTCCATTGGTGAATCAGAGTAACATTATTCTCATCTGCAATGACCGTAAGGGCCCAAAAATCAGTTTCAGGATTTTTTACCGCGCATAGCAGAATCTATCTTTGTACAGATTCTACTTCTTCAATAACTTCTGCATCTTCATTGAATAAGCTAGTTGATGCTATTTCCGTTTCTTACTTATCCAAGGCAGTCTTATGGATAGGGGAAAGTTGGTGTAAATTATTGATGAGGAATTTAAAAGGAGGTGAAAGTTGCATATAAGTGTCAGGAGGATTTCCTTCTCCAGGATACGGGGCTCTGTCCACATACTAGTACTACTGAGGCACTGCCACTAGTAGTGGTGGCAACCGAAATGGAACTAATTCACGCTACTCCGTGAAAAACATATCACTAGGCTCTTTAACTTTTTAATTTTTTTCAACTCACACTCACACATAGTTACTCTTGAATTATTATTTTAATTACTATACTTTAGGAAGAAAACAGGGGCAGATTAAAAGACATGCTTTTTGTACATAAATTGATGAACGCAAAATAACAGATTATATTAAGTTCAACAGTTACTATTATTACTTACATGTTCCAAAGACACATGCTCACGTTTTTGGATCTAAACCTTTTCAATTTCAAGTTGTTGTATCACATGCGAGGTCTTTTTTCATGTAAAAATATTTTGCCAATAACACTCGACTTATGGCAGTTTTCATAAGGAAATAATAGAGAAATCCAATTAATTTCAGCATTTTTTTACAGAGATGCAGAGTGCAACTCAAGTGACGCAAAATCAGGGTGTCAGTTTTCAATGTTTACATTTTGATATTACGAATTGATATTACGTTTAACAATTTTTCAACATAACGGTCCATGAATTAGGGATCTCAATAAAATACGTGTGACAGATTTCGATTCTTGCCCTATCTATCAGTATGTATTTTTGACAAAACAAAAGCTGATCGGTAAAAACATCAGGGTTTCTATGTAATCTTGTCTCACCGATACTCATGATTTTTGGTGGAACCGGCTAATCTTTATGAGATTCATGAATAATAGTGTTCAGTCCCTTTTTTCTTTATTAGTTCACTCCAAAAACCTTTTGCACGACGATGAGAATAACTTGTAATAAATTTATCAGCATGTAATCACGGAAAATTTACTAAAATGTATTCGCTCAAGTTTTCTGCTCCAGTGTAATACGATTCGCAATCATTCAAAATGGATAACAAAAAACAGATATTTTTCGCCAAATAAACTTCACTTAACGCCAAGTCACTTAAGTGTGGCTTCATTTGGCTTTAACAACATTTGCTACCAACTGGCCGGATAGCCTTAGTTGCTGAGGCAACTCAATCAAAAAGAAGAAGAAGAGAACAGAGGTTATTTGCTGTCATTATTTTAAGCATTTGGATTGGTGGAGAAATTGTAGTGACATTAGTGACAACACTGTTGGTGTTGGTATAATAAAATTGAAACAAAAATGTCCTCAAATGATAATTTTTTACGGTATACAGAAGATGATTTTGTCAGTGATCCTGCATTTAAGATGGAAATGAACCAGAAAATGAATGTTCCCGATAAAATAAGATTTGGACCTGACGAAAATAACGACCATTTATTATGGAGAAAAGAAAATCTAAATATGAATGTCCCTGATAGAATATTAGTGGCAGGACATCATCAACATGTAGGTATGTTGCAAATTGATATACCTATCTTGAGAAAATGAACTAATATTGTCAATTTAGGTGCCGTATGTATGTCCTAATTTCGTCCCAGAATGATATTACTTTGCGCTTGAAGCATGTAAACACATCATTGACTTTATGTTCACAGTTTGGATCACTTTGAAGAGTAGATTGAAATTATTCGTCACCTTTACTAAGACATCCAAAGAGGAGGGACACATTTTCAATCCTCTTTTGAAGCTGCGGAGGTAAATGTAGTCACATTCTCTGGGCTGTCGGAAGATCTATAAGGGGTTTAAGCAACATTCACATCAATATCATGCTCTGCTACTAATAACCAAGTCCATTCACATTTCATTTTATCATCTTTTGCTTTATCCATAATTTGCTTTGAAAGATGCATTCGATCAACATCCAATCGAACAAGTAGCATTTTTTACGTCCATTTGACATAATAACGATACTTTATCTTCATAAAGACAATATTAAGTTGTATAGGAAACTGTCAACACAATAAAATAAAGATACCGGGAGGTTATTATAAAAATCAAATGAGGCGAGAGTAAAATAAGTACAGATCTAAGAATTGTTAAAAATTCCGCTAGTGTATAACAATTTTCTAACAGATTTGCTTTCAGTAGTTTTTTTATATTATATATTTGCTTTAAAGCTTTTACATATTGAGGAAGATTATTGTAAATTTTTGGACCAATGGCCCAGAATAAGTCACTTTTAATTTTGCATTCAGCACATGGAACTGGTTTTTGATTCTCGTATCGTGGTGGTGAATATTCTTATTTAATGTAAAATTTGACTCATTTTCAAACACGTATACACATATTTCAAATGTATAGATTGATGCAAGAGTTGAGATATTATATTTTTTAAAATAGTGTCTACTAGAATCGCTTTGCGAAATATTTTCCGTGCATCATACAATGCGCTTTCGTGCAAAGAATACATTTTGTGCTGAAGATGACCCTCCCCAGAAACAAACATTGTACATAATTCTAGAGTCTATATAAGCATAGTAGATACTAAATAACTGAGATCTAGTCAATACCGATATCAAATTCATAAAAAAAAACTTCAGGGAATTAAGTTGGCAATGACTTTTCCATAGTCATATTATGACCCTTTTGAGCAAATCGTGAAGTATTTACAACAACGATCAATTGTGTTTCTTGATGAAACATACTTTCATAGTGGAAATACATCTAGGCAAATGAACCAAAGGCTTATTTAAACATATTTGGAAGTGACCAAGACTCAATATCGTCCATGCTGGATGTGACACGGGTTTCATACCTAATTGTCGGCTTATATTTAAATCAGGCACATCATCAGGGGATTTTTATTCAGAAACAAATTCTGCAAATTATGGTAGATGGTTACAAGAAATTCTTCTTCAGGGGTCTGTAACAATGAATTTTCATTAATATACCTTCCACAAAATTAGACGATTATTATGGTTTCAATTTCACAAGAAATAATGAGTTCTTAATTAAATTACTTACCGAAAAGTAGTTTTTTCGTGTTGATAATATACTATTTTAAAAACCACCTGACATATTAGATACATATTTAAAAAAAATTAAAAATATTGCAACAACCAAGTTTCCGAGACAACGCCAACACCAAAACGACATGAGACAAACAAATGGCTTTATCTGAGTTCCTGATAAGGAGGTGTCTGTTTTTTTTTTAATCAATGGCGGAAAGAAAAAGAATGAAACAGGCATTTTACATATCATATCGAAATATGCGAATTAAGGTCATCGACATCTCTTCTAGTGTTAACACTATCGCATTTGAGGTTATGTATCGTTTCGCTCAAAAGAATTTTGGATAAATATGGTTGAACATCATCTACAATAGTTGGATGAACACAATAAAAAATGTGTCCATCTTTTTCATGTTCCACGAGAGCTGTGTGATTTTTTATATTCAGTTTCTAAGAGTCTCTCATGTGTTCTGAAACTCGTGTTTTAACATTCCGTCCGGTTTGACCAACAAAGCATTTGTGACACCTTCCACCGTTCAATTTGTACACTATATTGGATTGTATTTCTTGTTTTTCGTTTCGAGAAAAAATGTTTTCCAACTGTATTTTCATTTGAAAAGGTCACTTTAATTTGTTCGATACTGAGTAGCATTCCAAGTTCANCTACAATTGCCGACGAACATAATTATTATATGTTCACACAAGATTCACAAGAAATTGTAATACTTCAAGAAAATGAATCCAATAATTCTTCAGAACCCAGGAAAGGAAAAAAAGAAAGCGAAAAATGTATATTCTCAATCCAGAATCATCCGTAGATGAATTTACATTCCTCGACAAATCTAAAAAATTCCCTTTTTGTAAAATTGGTCAAAAAAATTATCTGGAGGAAAATATCACATGATTCGGCATTTAAATAATGATACTCACAAAAAAATGAGCATGCGGCAAGAACTACTGCACAAATAGGCAAAATATTACCAAACTCAGTGGAAGAAATGAAATTACAATTGATGAGAGAAGTTGAATTGAAATTTTGTTGCTATATATGCGAACATGATTTTTCCTTATCACTAATGAATACTTTTCCAGATTTTTGCAAAAGTGCATATGTTGATTCTGAAATTGCCAAAGAAATCAAATTTAAAAGAAAGTTACCCAATTAATCGTCGGACGTTTAGGGCCAAATTTCAAAAATGAGATAGTAAATGATCTGAGGAGAATTCATTTTTCAATTATCATCGATGAAACTACAGATATAAACATGAAAAAGTGTCTAGTAATAGTTGTGAGATACTGGAAAAATTAATCTGTATGATAGCTTCTTAGATTTAATTGAGACAGAGAGTGGAACAGCTGAAGGAATTTTTAATGCGGGCAATCAAATCAGTATATTCATAATAACCACTTCAAAATATTCACATTTCACATACGACGACGTGTCTGCGCATGCGCAAATCGCTTTATTCCATCAATCCATCTTTGCATCATGCGGGAAGCTGTCACTTGTCAATTATTCTGACGACAGTGTTGGCAACCATTGATGCTATATAATTATGGCGAAATGCATACATTTTCATCTGTCATTTCCGTAAAAAATGTTTTTGCCTTGGAGCAGCACTGACGTGACCACATGCAGTAGATTTCTACTTTTCCGGTAGATTTTCAGCACAAATTGAAAAATTGGAGTAAATGAATTTTCGCCGGTAGATTCATAAGACGAATTGGTGATAGAATTTTTATTTCAATGTGAGACGGCATCTACAGCAAATGACATGAATTTAGGACTTCTAGGTTCTGCTCGTTTCAATACACAGAACACAAAATGGTTACAGATCATAAAACATCCATTTCCCGATTGCATGATACTGTTTTATGAATATCTCCGACCTCCGAATAAAGGAAGAAGAAGAAGATAATAATACATTACCTCGTTTTCGTTTTTAAACTTTCAAAGTTTCATTTTAAACATGGAAACATTTCTGATTTTGAATCTTTGAATCTTCCTCTTAAAGATGATCACTTGGTGATCGAAACACGTGTCCGAGCTGTTAAAAATAACGATTTGTTGTTGGGAAAAAAACTCTAGTTTTATTCATTACTACACCAAAGGTTCCAAACAATTCATCATAAGTAAACAAACTAGAAAGCAACTTTCAAGTATTAGACAATTAGACCACGGCCATTGGCTATACCCGTAAGAAGGCCAAGGCCTCCTGGATTCAGTCACAGCATATGTTAACTATGCTGTGATTCAGTCATTCTATTCAAATGTATTAAAAAGCGCTACCTAGTGGTCGAACATTCAAATTTTCACTATGTTGGTGCTCTTCGATCTACTGCAGCAGATTTCAATAGATTTTCAATGACACTGTAGGTAGATTCTTAAATAAAATGTGGTCACGCTGTCGATCAGTGCAGTTGGTCTGGATTGAATGGTATACTATGAAAGATATATCGTATTTTATTGACAAGCAGAGAGTAAACAAAAATATATGATTCCGAAGACGTTACAAACCGTCACCTGTCCCAGGATGCAACCAATCGAAAATGAACTATTCACAGAGAAATACTTCTAGGATAATGGTGTCATAGAAAAACACCCTATCTACTTCAAATAAATAATTTTCCCAACATTGAGGGAGTTGTGTATTTTATAGTTATTGAATTGTGTTTTAATTCTCCCCTTAGTCATTATAATATAAATTATAAGATCTTCATAAATATTTTGAAGTCTATGATTTTGTAATCATTTGAAATATTGGATGCCAACCAGCGATCTTCATGAATCAACTGTTCTATTAGTTGTATGGTGTGAATCGGACACGAATATCGTAGCTAGAAACTTCACACAAGTCGGTTTGCCGAGTGACCTTTATTTTACTTTCCTTTAATTCCAATATTTTCCAAAACATTCAAAATCTCAAAGATTTTAATCTTTCCTGGCTGGAGATACCTGTGTCAAAGTTACTTTACGGGTTTTTTGGCTGTGGTCTGCAGGTTTTTATGTTTGGCATGAAACGTAGACGAGTAGATGAAACATCGAAACAGAAAATAACTTTGATACATTAAAATACAAGACAAAGGTCATTCTTATTTATTCATTAATATTGCCGTGAGTTAAGACATGTCCGAAAAAGCCATTGTATGGCGAAACACATTTTGCGTTTTTGTAAAATCGTTTAGTGAAAATCTCACTGCGAAATGTTTTTTTAATACGTTTCCTCAATCACTTCACAGTGATTGAGACGATGATTTATGATTGAATTATTTTTATTTAGTGAATATTCCATTGTAACGTGATCAGAAAACAAATGGGAAATGTTCCTCAATTTGGGTTATTACAGCAAATGCAAGTTTGAAGAAAATAACGAAGTTCACTTCGAAAAGTTTTCAAATTGATGTTTCTAATGTTGAGTTTTAATTTTTAAAGGGATTTGTTTCTGATTCACATATTGACAACAGCGCCTAGAATGCTAGATCGGAGTTCAGGTTAGTAGTATGCTGGAAGAAAAAGAATCATGTTAATAGTGTCAAATTAGGGCAAAATATAAATTATAGTTCAATACCACATCAACAAGCCACATAAACAACAGTTGTTTTGTTTTTTATTTACATAGAGGAAGATAGGTTAGGTGCAGAAAATGTCATGTCACAGAATGTCTCGGAACTTAAGTGAACAGAACAGCAGGCCTCTGAAATATGTCATTTTTGTTTGTCTCATACAGGTAACAGATTCATTGTCCTTCATTAGCTATAACAGATGTTGCCAAATGGTGAAATAGAAACGAATCCTTTTAAATGTTGAACGCATTATATCATTTCTCTTTTTTAAGTATTCAAATGATTTTTTGAAGAAAAAGGTTGAAATGATAAGTTTAAAATGCGTTGTTTTAGAGCTCTTTCATGAAAACTATTTGATTTTCGTCAGGAGGAACATTCCCCAACGGGTTTTAACATACTACAGTTTTTAATTGCATATAATATTAAACACGTCAGAGTGAAAAGCTATGGAAAAACAAAAACAGAGTTGCAGTCGAATTCAATTCTCAAAAACTACAAATAGTCCCGTTTGAAAACGAAATCCTCCTAAAATGATGACTTAAATAATTAAAGATATTAATTTTTGAAAATTTTAATCTTCTTCGTTATTCCTCATGTATTTACACACATTTTCCATATAAAGTCTCCGCTACAACAGTCTGGACTACTCAACAACTCACCCCTTCACATATATTTCAATATATTCCACAGGAATGTAATAAACACAAAATTAACTTTGAGTTTTAATGTCGTTATATTTCACGTTGGAATATATAATTTCAAAGAATGATCAAACTGTTATTCTCACCTTGCCAAACACCACGAAACGTATATTTCGACCTACTCTATCTATCTATTACACTAGTAGTAAAAGCGAAGAAATACCATGTGTTTGCCAGATATCGTAACAATCGAAAGTTGAAATGGCTATGTGTATATTATGCTGGCTAATGGCCTTTTAAAACACAGTACTACCACAACATTTGGCTTGAAAGAAAGCTTCATGCTTTGGTACCGATAATAATGCGATTGAAAATAATGAATAATGGCAGCAGGAAATACTAAGAATAATGATTCTTCTTTGTTTCGGATTTTTAGACCATAGTCTGTTGGAATTTATTGTAACGTTTCGTTGACGGATGTATTAGACATTTTCAGAAGTCTATGTTGTCTCACCAAGTTCCATAGTGTTTCCACTTTATTGTTGGAATTTTGAATAATATTTGTATGATAATCCCTTTTCGCAATGGAGATCTCTCTATCAATTTCCTTTTTGGGTTTTTTATAGTCATGTATTACAGGATCATTGGTATTTTTCCGCAACCAATTCATTTGTTTTAGATCATCCAGCTTTGCATAGAGTTTATTTGAAAATGGAATTTTTCCTGAACTCGATTTTTTTGATGATTTCATTTTTGGCTTGGGTATTGCAACATCGAAGCACCATTGGAAATGTGAAAAGAAGTTATTGAACATGACATCAACACTCTCATTTTGTTCGTATGAGAAGTCGTCCCCGATTAATAGTGATTTAAATTCTGATATTGAAACGTCATTAATTTTCCGAGTGGCAATCTATTTTATATTTTTGATTTCATTCATTATATTACATGTCAGTCTTTGGGCAAAGCGATCTTATACCCCCATATCATAGACCTTAGAGGAGACGTACACTATGTTGGTAACTATATAATCCAGTCCATTAGAAGTTATCTTTTCCCCATATTTTGCCCCATATAATTTCCCATTTTATTGTTAAGGTAAATATTCATACATTTATATTTCATTCATTTGATACAACATTTCACATTGTATATTTTTTTAACATTTTATACATCATACTTCATTTATTTTATGCGTTTACATTTTATATATAATTCATACATTTTACATTTTATACAGTGTCACGGATAAAGTCCGCATCAAATGGGAAACTTTTTTATTTATCGTTTTATGTGAAATTTGATTTTGGCAGTAGATTTTGCTTAAGAAATGATGTCAAATGGCGTCTACAAAATAGGTCACGTGATTTCCTTAACCTGTCAAAATTGACATTTAAAAAAAGAAACATCGAAAAATGACATTATTCTTCAAAATATCCAAAAATATCAAA